CTTGGCAACCATTCTCAATAACACAATGCATGTCCAACACTTTTTTATTGGGAGAATGGTAAGAAGAATGCATGTCCTCACTACAACACTATTTTTTAATATCAGTGGTGCTCGGGCCACTTTGTGTGTACCTCAGACTAGTCCACCGGATACCTACATCTCCATCAGTGCAGGTATTGAATAACTCTGTCCACCAAGGGTTAGGCAATATGGGAAGAAATCGCCTAGTGTTTTGTATCTCTAATAGTGTTTGAACCCTCACTATAATACTATTCTTCCAAACTTAAAAATCGTATAGTGCATATTAAATAAGTAGGCCTACATTAAATGAGGGACAACACAACTTCACTCCCTATTTCAAAGAAACAAATATTTAACCAATACTCCCTCTGTTTCAATTTATGTAAACCTATTTCACTGAGCACGGAGTTTAAGAAAAAAGAGAAGACTTTTGAACTGTGATGTAAAATAAGGCACACATATTTTGTGTTGCTATAAACCATTGCATAAAGGTAAATTGCTTCCAAATATGTAAAGAGGTCATTCTTTTTAGCACGGACTAAACAGGAAATAGTTTTACATAAATTGAAACAAAGGGAGTATGATAGTTCATGATCCTGTCATCTGCAGGGACGTACGCAAGATTTTACGTAAGCGGTGTTGATATTGAAATAGTAAACATGTGAACAAATTATTTTAATTATATTGTATATTTAAAAATAATCCAGATCATATTAGTAAAACATAATCCAAATATATTACTACAACTCGCCTCAACAAATTTACATTTTTTGAAATATATTTAAAATAGCCTACTTTTAGGTAACTTCCGTCGATGGAAGGCACAAAAAGCAGTACATGCTCAGTGGTTTCGTTCTTACTATAGGTCAGGGGTTCGATCCCTTCCGAGCATTACTTTTTAAAAAATAACTGAAATCCGAAAAAATATTAAATTACATGTCGAAATTGGGACTCGAACTCCCCACCCAAACTAGGGAGAAGAAGCGCTCAGCCAATGAACTAAGACGTTCTATTTGTTCAGTATTTGCATTTTATTTTATATAACAGCATTTGCATATTATTTATATGTGTATTTAGTAAAAATTATCCGACACCGCTTGGGCTAAGGTAAATCCGCCCCTAGTCATCTGTGCCAATAACTATTTTTTCTGGCTCATAGATCTTAAAGAGCATAGCATTAAAAATGTTACCTACATTAAATGAGAGACAACATAACTTGACTCCCCATTTTAGTGAGACAAAATTTAACTAATATGCTTGTTCATGGTTTTGTCATCCGTGCCAATTACTATTCACCAGATTTATCCATCCTCTATTAAAATAATAAACCAACTTTACGCTTATTTTGGTTGCGTAACATCTGCCAAAACCATCCCTTCAGTGATCTGGTGCACTATTTGGAAGGAAAGGATTGCAAGAGTTTTTGGAAGCAAATTGGAACATGTAACTAGCATTAAATACAGATATATTTCTTTACTCCTTTTTTGTTGTAACATGGCTATTGCAAATGACAGTGAGGCCATGGTTGACTTTTGAGCTCATGACATAACACGTAATGGAGCTACCACTTGTAATTACTTCAAAGCACCTAATTGATGCTGATATCAATATACTACCTTTAACAATAAATAAAGAACATCTGCCAAAATCAAGACTTTAATGGTACACGGTGGGAGCTTTCCACACAATAGATGTGGATTCAATTCTCATTGTCCCCCTTCCCCTCCTCTTCCCCTTCTCTAATGTAATAGGGGGAAAACTGCCAAAAAAAAATTGGGAAAAAACATCTCCTGACCAAAGAATGCGGGAACATACCACTGGATTACACCAACTCCTTGGGTTTCCTCACCTGATGCTGATAAGTACTCATTCACTTTCTCACAGAATTCTCGTCCATACATGTTGTCTAGAGCAATATCAATATCATAGCATTCATCACCTAGCAGCTACAGTAATAGAACTCCGTATTAGCCAAAGAATAAACAGGTACAGAAAGAAAAATAACTTAGATTAAACAGCAAAACCTAATTTTGCAACTAATAAATACTTTGGCCACATTAATAATCACAAAAATACATGTAGATAGAGGTGGGTGTTCGGGCAGTTCGGATTGGATATGAAAATTTTGGTTTGGATTTTCGATTTTCGGATTGAAGAAATGACAATCCAAATCCAATCCAAATAAGCTCGGATCGGATCAGATTTTTTAAGTTCGGTTTGGATATTTTGGATTTTCGGTTTTGAGCTTATAAGTTGAGATGTTTGATGTCTTCTTTTTACAAAAATGAATATCCAAATGAAGTACTCATGTTAAATTGCCTGAAAAGTTCCTCATTCTCACTGCAATCATCCAAATAAAGTATTCAAGTAATGAAATTATTACCAAGGAAATGCTACAGAGGCATTAATACGGCTGATAAGAAGTAACAATAGTAAAACCATGTCCAACTAGAAAGTATTCTGACAGTTACTTAGTAATTTTTATTGAATATATGAGATAATATATAATGAGTAGGGTATTGAACTTATTATTATTGACATATGGATAATAGACTAAATATAAAGTATAAAAAATTTGAATTTTCGGATATCAAAAAATCCGATGTACCAAATCCAATATCAAATCAGAAATCAAAAAAATTTAAAAATTAAATCCAATCCGATCCAAAAATCCAAACCAAAAATTCAAAAAATTCGAATTTCGGTTTGGATTTCGGGTTTGCCCAAACTATACTCACCCCTACATGTAGAAACTAGAAAACAATTCCAAAAAAATTCCACAAGAAAGAAAGATACTAGCAGTTAATTGAAGCAAAAAAATGAAGTAGTTTAGGTTGATAAGCAAAGGTGACATAGTTTCGAATGTTGCGGATAACAAGAAAGAAGAGAAAAAGAATCTAGAGATGATTGTACACACCCAATGACATGTGTATAACGTACCAAAAGTCCTTCAATCTTGTGGTCTTAAATATGTCATGTGGATTGTTGGAGTTAAAGAGTTGCTAAATATAAAAGGAAGCATTATTTTTTAAATAGACTAAAAAGGAAAGTAAGACATATAAATTGAAACGGAGGGAGTATATCAATCTTCAAGATATTAGAAAAGGATACAAGGCTTATATAGTTGGGTAGAGAATAAAAGATGATGTCTTTAGCTGTAGCGTGTGAGACATATGCATACCTACATCTATAGAATATGTCCCTGTGCGGACTGTGGGAAAAAAATTAAAATATTTAGATTGCATTCCATCAGAAAATGATGAGAATATATGTGTTTTTCTTCTTTGGGTCAATAGTTTGGGGGAAAACACTATTAATGTTAAACTAAACACTCCATTATCAAAGTGTACAATAAATATGCATAAATCAATATCTAGGTTTAGTCTACCCTATTTAGTTACCATTTCTATACTCTTCAATTAACGTTTTATAGGGATTCTCTTAAAAAATGAACACCGTCAGTCCAGAAATCAAGTTTTTGTGCACAAGAATTATTTCCATGGTGGTTAACCTACCGCAAGCTTCCTCCTTCATTCTGGCCTGATACCAGCTATTTTTTGCTCACATACACAGCATTCCATAGTTTAAATTGAAACTAAAAAAATTCAATTGATAAAAAGCTCATTTGGTTAAGAGTATACACTGTCACATCTGGATAAACAACATTATCCCTCCACCATTAAAATAAAGTCAGGAAAGATGATCTTGAAAATAAAGGTGCATCAAATGTTGATTACTTCTCCTTGTATTGAGCAATTAACACTGCATTTGTACTTATATCTGTTCTCGGCAATTTAAAAACCAAAATGAATCAAACCTGATTCTGTTTTCAATCTATTGATGACTTGAAGACCTCGAAAAATACTAGGTGATTTTTTCCCATCTGTTCGAGCCTTGGTTATCAAAAGAAATTATATCATCTAAATTAGTATTGCAACAGTTTCTTTTAGACCCTTGTAAGTTAGCTAGGCTTTTTCTTATATTCATCGGTTGTTAACGTTTGGAAGGCTATCAATGAGATTATCCCTAGTTTCCTTAGCTTAGCTTAGCAGTAGTAGCTTTCTTCCTCAGTTTAGCTAGTGTTCTTAGCTCGAATTTCAAAATGCAACCGGTTGAAAAGTTAGATTGATAGAAGGAAAAAACATGTTATAACCTGAATAGTTTAATAACTATGAACTTAAGTTGTATGAAAATAGGTCAAACGTATATCAAAAAAGAATGGCATCAAACATGTGGGGACGTCCAAAACGGGGAGTGTCATATAAATTGAGATAGACTCAATTGCTGGGAGTATCAAACAGTTTAAGTAATAGCTCCTTGAGACTAAGTGCACTAACATAATTTGATTGTAAAATTTCATAATTTTGACTGTTAAATTAGGACAGTTGATAACAGGAGACAAACAAAGAATGACTAGGATTAGAACCAAAACCTTATCGCGAACCCAACCACCAGCAACACGAAGCTGTGTTTTGAGATTAAATTGCTCGACAACTTGAAGAAGACAGTTGAATATCTTCTCCTCATGTTCCGTCAAATCAATATGGTCCTTCACTTGGACTGACGACGGCGGAGATGCTGGCTTCTCCACCATTGTTGTAACTCCGGCGTAAAACCCTAGCGCCGGCGGCGGTTTTTGAGCGGAGAAGATGGAGAATCTCTTGAGTTTGAAGGCTGGAAGAAGGCGGAGGGACGAACGAAGGGGAGAAGAAGTAGGAGGGTTTCGGAAAGTGAAGAGACGAGGAGGGCGAGTGGCGTTAAATGTTGAAACGGCTACGGCTATACTCAAAGCCTTCATCTTTCTCCTTTCTAACGGCCTAGTGATGACCCGCTTTTAAGCATGCTAAATGGTGCGGGTCAGCCCAATGAAGCATCTGCTTGTGCTAGTCACGTGACCAGCCCAATAGCTAAAGAAAATATTTCTAAAAAAAAATTGGTAAGTAAAGTACATTATTACCAATGAAAAAATGTATACCAAGATGCGGTTGGATGCCCCGGTAAAGAGGTGCGAGTGGTTGGCGTTGGTGGATACGAGAAGAGGTAGAGGGCGGCCTAAGAAGTATTGGAGAGAGGTGATCAGGCGGGATATTGATAGATATATTTTGTATAGCTAGAAGGATAATTTAGTCTTTATATTATTTTTACATGTTATAAATACCATTTGTAATTGTCAATGTAAATCATTCAAGATAATTACTGTTTCATGGTATCAGATATCCAGGATATTCTCCAAGTCTTCTTCTCCGTATCATCATGGTTTCATCTACATCCAGTTCTCAAACCTCTTCTCCTTCCTCTTCTTCCATGGCTAATCTTCCAGTTACACCTTCCGTTACGCATTCTGCTGTCTCTGTTTCCAATATCAAAAAATTTGAATCCTACCACTCTTGATTATAAAAACTATATGCTTTGGAGAGAATTATTTCTTCTAGTGTTTAAAGGACATGGTGTCTATGGCTTCATTGATGGAAGTTATCCATGTCCGGAGTCAACTCTTACCATGGACAATGGAACTTCTGTTACTAATCCAGCTTTTCAACAATGGGTCTAACTTGACTCTATTGTTTTATCATGGATACAAGCCACTATTTCACAAGAAATACTTCAGGCAATTATCCGTCCTAACCAAAGTCTTACTGCTCGCGAGGCGTGGCTACAAATTGAACGTCTTTTCCATGATCATGTTAGTTCCCGAACGCTCCAACTTAAAGTTCAATTTCATAACCTTAAGAAAGGTTCCCTTTCTATTGCTGATTATGTGCATCGCCTCAAATCCATTTCGGATGCCTTGACATCAATTGGTAATCCTATTTCTGATTCTGATCTTATTCTCCAAATTCTTTCTGGCCTACCTTCTGAATATCTCTCTATTAGCACTTCAATCTCTACTAGGGTTCCACTTTCTACTTTTCTTGAGACTAGATCTCTTATGTTCCTTCATGAAACTCAATTGACTGGCTTTTCTTCTACCGCATCAGATTCTTCCACTGCTTTAGTAGCTAAACAAAATTCCTCTTCTCAAGGACGTGGACGTGGAAGAAATTCTAATGGTGGTAGATATGCCTATGGTGGGCGTGGTAGAGGACGCAACAACAATGGCTACCAAAGAAGTTATTCCACTGCTCCTCCCCAGTTTGCTCCACGCCAAAGGGCTCCTTCCATTTTAGGTCCAGCGCCACACTCTACTATTTCTTCCGTTTATCCTACTTATCCATTTCCTTCTTCCTTTTAATGTCAGTTATGTTTTCAACCCATGCATACTGCACGAGATTGTCCATCTCTTGGTTCCAAAGCACTTTTTTCCGATCTTCAATCTCCATCCTCTGCGCATTCCTATACTCCTCCAAGTAATCCTCAATGGTATGTTGACACTGGAGCCTCTTCACACATGACATCTACTACTTCAAATCTCTCTTCCATTCAACCTTAAAATGGTAATGATAGTGTTATGGTGGGTAATGATAATCAGCTCCCAATCTCTTATACCGGTAATGGTAATATCTCTACGCATTCTTCCACATTTTCTCTCAAAAATATTTTAGTTGCTTCTACTCTTTCTTGCAATTTATTAAGTGTTCGTAAATTCACTTCTGATAATAATTGTTCGATTGACTTTGATGCCTTTGGATTTTCTATTAAGGACTACAAGACGAAGAGAATTCTTCTCAGTGCTATAGTTTGGGTCCTCTTTATTCATTCTCTCCATCAACTCCTGGAATTGCTGCTCATCAAGCCTTTGCTGTCTCATATGCTTCTCCAACTCTGTGGCATCGTCGTCTAGGCCATCCTAGTTTAGCTGTTCTTTCTAATTTAGTTAGAAGCTATAATTTACAATGTTCTTTTGTAAAGCGATTGGATTTTCTTTATAATGCTTGCCAACTTGGCAAGCACACCAAATTACCATTTAAGGATTCTACATCTTCTTCTACCTCTTCATTTGAATTGATTCATACTGATATTTGGACCTCCCTAATTGCCTCTTTTACAGGTCTTCGTTACTATATTTTATTTCATGAAGATTTTACTAAATTTTCATGGGTGTTTCCACTTCGACGCAAATCAGAAGCATTTCTTACATTCAAAAACTTTTATTCTTATGTTTTAACTCAATTTTCTGTTAAAATTAAATCACTCCAATGTGATGGAGCTGCAGAATATGTTAAACTTACTTTCTTTCGTGAATTTTTAAATTCAAATGGTGTTTGTCTTTGCGTATCGTGTCCACATACTCACCAACAAAATGGCAAAGTGGAACGAATGCACCGCACTATTTTAAATATGGTTCGATCTTCACTTTTTCAATCTTCTCTTCCATCTCAATTTTGGGTTGAAGCACTGAATACCGCAGTCCATCTCTTAAATATTTTGCCTTTTCTAAGCTTAACTTTAAAACTCCGTATGAACTTCTTTTTGGTAGGCCATATATGTATAATCATTTACATGTATTTGGTTGTTCTTGTTTTCCTAATCTTCGTGAATATGCACCACATAAGTTAAGTCCTATGTCTAGACATTGTATTTTTCTTGGTTATCCTTCTAATTATAAAGGTTTTAAGTGCTTTGATCCTTTAGAAAATGTAGGCTATTGGGTTTAATTTACGGGTCGCCCATGTGGATAGACCCGGCCCAATTATTAGAGATAGGGCTGATGGAAGTTAATATTATGAGGGAGTTAATTAACTCCCGTAAGAATAGGAGAAGTGCCACACGTTAAAAGTGGAAACGTGAAAACAGAAGTTATGGGCAGTTCTCCCTATCCCTTTTCTCTATATATATATTTCTCTTCAGAGATTCTCACTGGGCAAGAAAAAGAAAACGAAGAACACAGTAAACTTGGGCATTTAGTTTGTGAACAAAAACTCTTTTTCCTGGAGATTCAGAATTAGATTTGGGGCAATTCCTTTGGTGGTGAGTTCAACGGTTTCCATTGCGTCAATAAGGTACATAACTAGTTGTTCTCGCCCCGCGATTATTAATCCTTCATTGGTATCGGAGCCACTGTTGTTTCATGTTTCTTTATTCATGGAATAAATTAAATAAGAATTATAGTTTTTTTTACGGTGCCGCAAAATTTCGTTGACAGTTTGCGTCAAAGGAATTGGTTCCGTGAATAAGATCGTTAATTTAGTCATGTTTTGGTTTTTAACTTTCATGTCTGCTAATGTTTGCAGATATATAGTAATATTTTTTATATCATCCCACTATAAACTTAGGGGATTTGCTCCACTGCATAGTATTATGGCTTCATGTGTTTAATAAAAAGAAATGTTGTTAAACAAAGCTAAAGGCAGAGATGAATATTCTATAATAAAGTTTTCTTGAAATTCTTTGGTCAATTAAGACCCAATGAGACATAGTTGGTAATACATTTTGTGCTTTAGCTTTCAATTTAAAGAACACTATTTGCAGAAATATAAACTGAAGCTATCAATTTCTCTGTGATTTTGATTACAAGGAATTATGGCCTTATTAGATCTCCTTGTCTCCTTAATAAAAAAGAAAAATTGTTTAGCCATATCCCTTACATTAATATACTTCTACGAGTTATTGTGACATATGTTGTCACATTGAGTGGTTGTAGCCGTCCTATTTCAGACATGGCTGAACAGGGACAAGCTCGACTTGCTCCAAGAAGGAGTGGTGTTGAAAATCGAGCAAGAGGACAACGTAGAAGAATACGCCGCCGTATGGCATATTCCCGAGGACGTGAAGTCATAAGGAATGATGTTTCCAGGGCGATGCAAAATGTGCTAAGGGATGCAAGGGCTATACGAAGGGAAAGGGAAAAGAAATTTAGAGAGCTTAGGGCTTCACTAGCTGAACATATTGGAAATTATCAGTTTACCCGAGATGCACTAATTGATGCTATTGACGAAATTGAACTATCTGATTGGGAAGCCTTAGCTTAGTAGATTCACTTGGAGAACCTTTAGGTAGTATTTTAACTGAAGTTTATCACGAGGTTTGGCCAAGTAAACCTTTTTGGGTTTATGTTCTTAAATTTGAAGCTGAGTGGGAGAACCGTCTCTACAACTACTTGTAATTTGTTTAATTAATGAAACTTCGATATTTGTTTGCAAGATTACATGTCATTTTATTTGTTTGTTTTTAATGTGTGGCAATTAAAACAAGTATGACATGATATTGAAAATCTTGACAAGATACACACTATGAGAAATGATTTTATAAAATATTAGTTGAACATTTAGTTGTAGATGATGAATGGAAACGTAGTAACCTTTCGATTCTATACTAAGTGTAAAATTAATATTTTATTTAATTGATTTGCCTAAGTGTGTATATCACATGCGAGAATGATGAGTAATAAATACACTTGCATTATTGTTTCATTTAACAGACTATGGCATCAAAAACTATCATTGCTGACTTAAACAAGGGTGACAAACTGAACGGTGAAAATTATGATATTTGGAGCCGTAAGATATGGTATGTGCTGGAAGAGAAAGATGCTCTTGAAGCCATTAACTATGTCATGGTTTGCCCAGAGGAGGGTAACACTGCCCAACATAGGAGAGATCTTGAGGCTTACAATTCTTGGAAAAAGAAAGATGCCACTGCTCGTGGAATCATTGTAAGCTCAGTTGTAGATGATTTCATTCATGAATGTGAACAATTCCCTACTGCTAATGCCATGTGGGCGCATTTGAGAGAAACATATGGGGGTACTACTGCAACCCGCCTTAGACAGCTGACTATCAAATTTGACACTTACAAAAAGCGTAATGACCACAGTGTCAAACAACATCTAAGAGTGATGTCGGATATGATTGCTCAACTCAAAGGTGCTGGCCATCTTTCTGACGAGCAGCAGGTTCAGGCAGTGATTCGGTCTCTTCCCAATAATTGGGAGCATCTGAAGGTTAACTTGACCCACAATGATAGCATCAAAACTTTTGTTGATGTTGCCCGTCATGTGGAGCTTGAAGACGAGCGGCTTGGTGGTGCTAAAGCTGTACCTAATGCCTTTGTGGCAGAATCAAGTGGTACAAAGAGATCAAGCTTCAAGCGCAAGAGAAACTGGAAAAATGATGGAAAGGGTAAGGAGACCGGAGAAGGATCCTCCAAGAAAAGAAACAAGCCACATTTCAAGAAAGGAAAAAGGTTCTATAAGAAGAAAGACAAGAACAAGATGAAATGCTACAATTGCCAAGTCCTAGGGCATTTTGCTCGTGAGTGCACTGAGCCGAAAAAGGTAGCATTTAAAAATGCATCTCTTAGTGCTATATATGTTTCTAGCACTGTTTTACTAACTGAATCTTATCCTGTGTGGATTGTAGACTTAGGGGCCACCGACCATGTGAGCCATGATAGAGAAGCATTCATAGAGTTTCGTCGAGTTTTACCTGGATCAAAGCATGTATTTGTGGGAAATAATGCAAAGCTTGAAGTCAAAGGGATAGGCACTTGCAGAATGGACATGCGTGGTGGCCGATCTTTGATGTTGCATGATGTCCTTTATGTTCCAGAGATTCGACGAAACTTAGTCTCTGTGTCTGTTCTTCTAGATTTAGATTTCAATTTGAACTTTAGTCGCAATGGTCTTAGGATTACTCAAGACAATGTTTTTTAATGGTTTTGGACATCGTTTTGATGGTTTTATTGTGTTAGATTGTAATCCTTCTACGTATAACTATTATGTTGACCGTTGTGTTATGGCATGTTATTCTAGTAACAATGAAGTTGATGTTATCACATGGCATGCAAGATTAGGTCACATAGGGCAGGATCGAATGAATAGATTGGCTAAGGAAGGACATTTGGATTCTTTCTCTAAAATTGAAATGCCAACTTGTGAAAATTGTCTTGCCGAAAAGATTACACGTAAACCATTTGGAAAGGCTAAGAGAGCCGATTTTCCATTGCAATTAATTCATTCTGACATCTGTGGTCCAATGAATGTGAGGGCTAGGTCTGGTGCTTTATATTTCATTACGTTTATTGATGATTTCACGCGCTTTGGTTATGTCTATTTGATTTCTCATAAATCTGAAGCACTTGAATGCTTTAAGAAATATTTGAATGAAGTTGAGAATCAATTAGGAAAAAGGATTAAGACCCTAAGAACCGATAGAGGGCGTGAATATCTATCAAAAGAATTTGAAGAATTGTGCAATGAAAAGAGAATCACCAGACAGTTAACTATTCCGTACACACCTCAACAAAATGGTGTAGCAGAAAGGAGGAATAGAACACTACTGGACATGATAAGGT